GCTCCGACTTATCAGAGCATCTCCCAAATATTCAGGTACAGAATGAGTCACAACGCTTGGGCCTTTATTGGTTCAGTAACTGCTATACAGTGACTAAAAAATAAGCTACAAACTCAAAGTTATCAGACTTGAACTAAAGCATTTTCTGCCCTAATAAAAGTGACAGAAATCTGGGTGTCACCAACAATTCAGACTAAACATTTCATCGCCAACATCACAGGAAGTGCTTTTCTTTTAAATTCTTCAGTACAATAACATAACATACAGACTAAGCATTTTTATCGAGTTGGAGTTTCCAGTTTAACAGTTTTGCACTTTACTATAAAAATCTTTTGTTTACATTTCATGCTGTGCTGCATGACATACAATTTGTCACAAAAAAGAGATAATTTTGAATTTTTGGTGGAAAATTAATTGTTCAGATATATTGACAACATTTGTAGTTGTTTGGAAAGCTCAGAGTTAACATCGTAGGGAGAGGTGGTGGATCATACATTGCAATTAAAACAGAAAGGCTGAAAGGGCAGATTAGTTGGCCGTTCCTGGAAATGTTAACACCACCTGACTGGAGTTCCTGCAGTAGAAACACACCTATTGTCCGAAAATTAAATAACTTCTGAAATAAACGCTGAAGAGATGGAGCTGCAACTGTATTTATCTTGCGCTATTTCAGTTCTTATTTGTTTGTGGTAATGCTTCCTTATCAAGAAAAAATTAAAAAAGAAAAAAAAAGAAAAGACTATAATCGCTGATATATCATTGAGGGACTTTTTTCTCTCAAGTATCTGTTAAAAGGAAAACAAGGAAATCGAACTTTTACAATCAGACTTTGCTCTGAAGCAATTCTGACTTGTCACGTCACGAGTATCTGAACAATGTCGTCTATCCACATACTCAAACTGCTACACCCTTGTCTGAGCATGGTTTAATAATACACTTTATTTCATGCAGAGAAATTATTTCGTTTAATTAATGCAAGTTAAATCGATAGATTTTTAAGAATTCACAAAAATGTAA